CGTGCGCTTTCTTCGTGAAGCGCCAAATTCACCTGTCTCTCGGTGCAGCATGTTCTAAACATCCAGATCAGCCTAAGCAGTCGTCACTACCAATGTAAAATGGGGATCACGCGTGCCAGCAACGAGGCTGCGATGAGATAGGGCGCATATAACAATCTGGTCGATATTTCTCGCAGTACACGTGAAGAAATGGCTGACCGTACCTTGATCAGGTCAACTGCTAAGCCAGTATTGGACCAAGCCTGACGAGCGTCACAGGTAAAGTCGGCGATCTTGTTCCAGCGAGTCAGCCGGTAGGACGAAGTTTTCTGATCTTAGAGCAATATACAGATACCAGTTGGTTGTCATTAATCCTACATCTTACATTCACCAAGTCAACTTGCGCTCCGATTAATGATGGGCGCTTGCTCAAAGTGCAATCTGTTTCAAGCGAGCATGGCCCATGACCCATGAGTATCGGTCAATGTTTTGCATGATTATGGATCGTCGAACGTTTTACAATTGACATCCACAAAGTGCTTGTTCAAAGGCAAGTCGATCCTTTGTTTTCTATCTACTAAACATGCCACACAATTGTATCCTGCTTGCTTAGCAGTTTGGGTCGATCGGCACCGACATATAATGATCCTGTGCCGGTACTGAAAGTAAGCCACCACACCCAGAGCTTCACTTTACCGGCATTGTTTCATCTTCACATCAAGCTCGTTTCCTGGTACTCGTTGCAGACAACGCCCCAGTCCGATCGACATGCCACCCAAGAAAGGCGGCAGCAAAGTCCCAGCAGGCAAACAGCTTAACGACGTGACGAAGTCTGAGTTGCTTGACGAGATTAGAGCACCCAAATTCACCGGGAACAAGTGCATGAGATGCGATGAGTTCAACCATGGTCATATCAACGAATGCAACGCCAACGCTAATTCCAAGCACTGGTCGAAGGGTCTTGGTAACTTCGCGGACAAGCAGGCTGTGGAGAAGTTGTTTCAGACCGAACGTGCCAAGCTCATTGCGGACGGAACATACACTCCTGTCAAGCAAGTAAGCAAGCCTGTCGCGCAGAGTCAACCCAAACCCGACAATAAGATGAAAAGCGAACCTCAGAATGTTGAGTCTACTATTCCAGAAGACCCCGCATCCAGCAGCGCACTGAACGAAAAGCCCGCGACGCCCGTCAAGAAGAGGACGCCTATCGAGACTGAGAATGTTGGCAAGCTTATTTACACAAAAGACGAGACAAAAGCCCAGAATGCCCAGGCTGATATACCCAAAGATGGTCTAGCGAACGCCGCAACACAGCACGAAGGTCCAGAACCGGCGGAAGGCGAGTTCAAAGTGATCACCAATTATGTGCGAGTGCGCAAGGTACCTTCTCAACTCTTTACATATGCCTTGACATTCTATAGACCAAGTCGCGACCCAAAGAAGCCCAATGCCCGCGTAGAGCTCAACAAGCGACAAGAGATCGGACGTGTATTCGATGCGATGATCGAGAAAGATGTGCTGGAACTGGACAAGAACCGGAAGACATGGGCAACCGACTACAAGAGTCTTTGGTGCGACACTGCTCTCCGGAGCCCTCACGGAGATCAGGAGGAGTGGGATACGGCAAATTTTGACTGCAAACTCCTTGATGGTCGAACATATGACGACGTATACGCAACTGTGAGGAAAGGTGTAGTCTTGAACGATATCGACGACGTCCTTCGTAAGGAACACATCACCAAAAGCGCCGACTACATTCGGGCTCTGAATGCTCATGTTGCGAAATGTGTCCGCAAGTACAACGAAGCGGAGAACCGATCGATTACCCAGCTTGGTGCGAACAAGTTCTACCTTGATCGAGGTTTCAAAGAAATGGTCGATAAGAACTCCAACAGCCTGGGCTTGCGCGCAGTCCGCGGTTACTACATGTCGATAAGGCCCGGAGCGCTAGGTCCCGTGCTCAATATCAATGCAGCGACAACAGCCTTTTTACCTCCAATACTGGTCTCGGACTTGTTGACTACATCGCTCAGTCAAAATACTGTCGAGAAGATGTTGAGGGGCAAGCGCGTCAGGCTGATTTACCGACGACAAGAGTTCCAAGAGACCAAGGATGCTGGATTCTCCATGAACGACGAACTCCCGCGCACGAAAGTCTTTCAACAATTTGGTTTGCCTGCGAGCGAGCAGAAGTTCTTCACAGTCCTTGCTGACGACAAAGGCGCCAAGGTTGACGTCAGCCCAACAGATAAGGGTACCTCCGTCATCCAATATTTCAACAGTGAGAGAATCTCAGACTCCCCATGTTATATCACGCTAACAGCTGTAGAAATGAAAGCAGAAATATCGGGTAGCCCGTCACCTGCTCAACTTCTATGCGTCAATGTTGGCAAGCGCGTTCAATCATCTAGATCGAAAGATGCAGGCAAACTAGCATTTATGCGTCAGCAGACCTTGGACGGCGCTCAGTGGATCCCGGCCTGTTTACTCGAGATCCTGCCTTTTCAACCAATGACAGGGCAGATGAACCCGAAGCATACTGCCGAGATGATGAGGCATGCTTTGCACTTACCCGCGGAGAACGCAGCTCTGATTGATCAAGAGGGCCTGCGGATCCTTGGTCTCAAAGATCAGATCGAGGATCAAAAAGACACAACTAGCAAGAAGTATCTCGTAAGTTCCAATGGCGCAAGAGCTGTTGATCGCTGACTTACAGTTCACCAGGACCAAGGCTTTCAGCTCGACAACAAACTGATATCATTGGCCGCCAGATCTTTGGAACTTCCCCATCTGTCGTACGAGAAGCGCGGTGACCCCGACGTCGAACACACCGTCAGTACACAGCCTCATACAAAATTCCAGCCACTTATTCACGTCGACCGGTCAGCTTGGAATCTTCAAGGCGCAGCATTCATTAAGCCTGGAACGCTGAAAAACCTTCACGTCGTCGGGCTGCCGGGATGTCGTCAAGAACACAAATTGGCTATTGTCAAAAAGGATTTCACTGAGCAATTGTGTGCTCATCATGTTCACACCACGTCTGGAGACCATGCTAACCAGTTGGGGCAATACAAAGGAATTGAAGAAGATCTCAAGTCCTGGTTCACCATGTGTCAGCGGAATGACTGCAACCTCGTCTTGTTGGCCGAGAAAGACTTCGACAAATACGCAAAGATCAAACGAACTGGCGATTTTGAAGGGTACCACACCATCTGCGCTATCGGCAGCAAAATCCAAGATGACAGGAACAACGATCATAACAGGACCGGCAATCGTTGGCAGCATCTCTCCAACTTAGCCCTCAAAGTCAATTTGAAGTTGGGTGGGGACAATCACTGGCTTGACAACGAGATGTTGGACAAGCTACTGGGTGGAGAGGAGTCCAGACGAAGCACCATGATCTTAGGATCAGATGTCACCCACCCCGGCAACGGCTCGAAGATTGGTACGCCCAGCATCGCCGCCGTTGTGGGTACTGTTGATGCTCAGTTCATGAGCTATCGCGGTTCGATGAGACTTCAAGCTGGTGGCCAAGAACAGATCGATGAGGCGAATCTCCGCAGTATGGTCAAAGAACGGCTTGAGACTTGGAAGTCGTGTAACGATGACAAGCTTCCGACCAGGATCTTGTTCTATCGCGACGGTGTCTCTGAGTCGCAGTTTGCCAACGTGGAAGAGTCTGAGATCCCACAGATCAGAGAGGCGTACGTTGAGGCTGGAGGCAATGTCATAGACCTCAGTGTATGCTTCTTCGTTGTCAGCAAACGTCACCATACACGATTCTACGCTGCCACTAAGAACGCAACATACCAGTCTCGAGAGAACACCCCGACCGGATCCAGATTGTATCAAAACGGCAACGTCAAAGCTGGTTTACTTGTAGACAGCGTAGTAACAGCGCCGGAGCCCTTGAACTTCTTCTTGCAATCTCACACTGCGATCAAAGGCACCGCACGTTCAGCCCACTACTACGTACTCCAGAACGACACCGACATTGGGACCGCGAACCTGCAGGAGTTGACGATGATGCTATGCTACACCTTTGGGCGATCGACGACCGGTGTCTCGTACGCAACCCCGGCATACGCCGCGGATAGATTATGCGACCGCGGCAGATCCTACATTCGTCACTGGGCAGAGGATGAATTTGCCAATCCTATCTTTGAGTACAACACTTACTATGACGGAAACGGAAAAGAACGCAAGCCCACCGACGTCGAGATCTTATCCGAGAAACGAGCGATGGTTGACGCGCTCTTGCACTCTCCCAGCGTCTGGGGCAAGAACTACCACGACGACCCAAATGACAACAGTAAGCCGCTCAGGCTGAACCCGTGGCACCCAAACCTTGACCAGGGTATGTTCTGGATGTAAGAGGAGATTCGGATCGTGCGGTGAGAGGCTATGGGACTATGGATTCCCGATACGTATGGTGTCTTCCTTTTCTTGGCTTGATCTCCTTTGTAGCTGTATGCGTTGGTGTTTCTGGGTTTCCTGTTGCTCTGGTGCTTCTTTCCCTATGTTTTCGTGCGTTGCGTCTTGTGTTTTCGTCCTTCGGTGTTCCTTGTCATCTTCCCGTTGTCGTGTGCTCTTTTTGCTTTACTTAGACTTCGATTCGTACTCTCATTCAATAGATTTGTCACTCCGCTCAAGTATCTTCAAACTTGCGTACTATGCAGATGCTGGTGCCTCGGGTTTCTTGTATCGCGTCGCGACGCGACCGGATCGTTGCGATGATGGAAAGTAGGAGGGCTCGCGCGTTGGCTCATCCCACGTTCGCACGAACGGGAAGTTGACGCGTCGACCCGAGATCGGCAAGCCATAGCTCCCACGCTACATCGTCGCCGTCATCATCAACCTTATAGCCGAATTAGAGATTAGTTTGCCGAAGCAATGGACAAGATGGCTGATCCCTGGTCTCCTTCAATATCCGACGAATTTGTCGTCCTCCCCAAAGGCCCATATACAGTCGCATCGCATCACGACCCGTCGCATCGTCTTGCCCTACCACACGGATCAAAATGACGGACACGAAGACTCCCCACGATCTGAACTGCCTTACCATCGGCGAACTCGAGAAGCTTGCCGCAGAGCGCATGGACAAGCAGACACGCGACTACTACAATGAGGGTGCAGACTCTGGATCGACGCTGCGCGAGAACATTGACGCATACCAGAAGTATCGCATTCGGCCACGCGTACTTCGCGACATCTCTTCTATCGACACGACCGTAAACGTTTTCGGATACAAGAACAGCATACCCCTCGGTGTCGCACCAACCGCTATGCAATGTCTCGCACACGACGACGGAGAACTAGCAACCGCTCGCGCATGCGCCAACAAGGATATCGTGATGGGCCTGAGCAGCTTCAGCACAACCAGCCTCGAAGACGTGAAAGGCGCATTGGGCGACCATCCCGGAGCTCTACAACTCTACCTCTTCGAAGAGCGCACCCAAAGCCAGAAGCTCATCCAACGCGCCAAGAAAGCCGGCTACAAAGCTGTCATGCTCACGGTCGATACTCCAGTCCTCGGACGCCGGAACTTGGAGATAAGGAACCAGTTCAAGCTGCCGAAACACCTCAAAGTAGCAAACTTCAACCGTGATGAGAAACACGACGAGGGTGTCAAGGTCGAGAAGAAAATCACCTCACCATCCACGGAAGCGAACGAGTCGCGCAAGAGGAGCGAGGCACCCAGTGCCACTGACGGCAACAAGAGACAGCCACCACAAGGACCGATAAGCTTTCACACGCACGCGCCAAACCCGACCTTATGCTGGGAACGCGACATAGCCTGGCTGAAAGAACAATGTTACCCTGAGATGGAAGTCTGGGTGAAAGGCGTAGCGACGGGAGAAGACGCACTACTAGCCTGCCACCACGGCGTCGACGGTATCGTTGTGTCGAATCATGGTGGGCGTCAACTTAATGGCGCATTGGCTACCATCGATGCGTTGCCCGAAGTCGTTGCTGCTGTGCATTCACAAACCGGGAAGAAGATCCCTGTACACGTTGACGGAGGAATCAGACACGGTACGGATGTATTCAAAGCACTCGCGCTGGGTGCGGACTTCGTCTGGGTTGGCAGACCGATACTTTGGGGATTGGCATACAAGGGGCAAGAAGGTGTTGAACTGGCGCTGAGGTTGCTGAGCGATGAATTCAGGTTGTGCATGGGACTTGCGGGTGTGACAAAGGTTGAAGACATTGGACCAGAGTACTTGGTCAAGATGGATCGGAGTGGATTTGTGAGTCGTCTTTAGAGATTATGAGCATACATTGCTGGGTAGCTCTGGATCTACATACTATTGATACGACTTTCGTATATACAAACGGGCTCGGATATGTTACGATACCTACGCCGCCTGTCTCCTACTCTCGATAAAGTCTACGTAGTCGAAGAAACTCTTCTTGTACCTTCGCACTTGCGTCGTGCGGTTCACAGTCTGGATACCAAACTGCTGGTCGTAGTCACCAAACTCCCAGTTGTCGGCCCACGACCAAGCAAACGCGCCGATGAAATTGACACCGTCTTCCCAGATCGCCTTCAGGCCTTCGTTCAGATACGTCTGGTAGTACCAGCTCCTTGGGCTGTCAAATTCCTGGTCTGCTTGCTCTTTTTGCGCCTCGGCGAAGACAGGGAAGCCGAATTCAGTGACAGCCACTGGAGAACGCCATGTGTTCCAGAGATAATTCAGGTAGGTGCGGAAATAGCTGGGTGTCAGATAGACATATGATTGACTGCGGTACCCGATGTCCCAGCCAGTGGTGGTGAGAGTGCTCTGAGTTACGCAGTAAGGTCGGAGGGGATGAGTGATGTTGGCAGCGCAGTCAGCGATGGTGTCATTCGGTGGTGGACTGACTACTGTGGCAGTGTACGGTTGGATCGAGAAGAAGTCTGCAGTGCCGTTGATGTATTGTAGATCTTCTTGGCTCAACGGTACGTAGTCGTCAACACTACTCTTGAATGATTCCGGGTAGTCTGTTCCGAGGAAGATAGGATTCGCAAAGGTAGCTAGCTGGAAGGAGTTGAAGTGATTGGCAGCGTCGACGTCAGCGGGGTCATCTGGATTGCGTGGGACGCCAAAGTTGTCGTTGAATGTGAGCGACATCTTTCCAGTTCCACCAATGTCATCGTGGTAGAAGTGGTAGAGTCTCGCATGAGCTTTGATGACAGCATCGATAGATCTTCCGTTCCGCGCACCCAGGAGAGGCTCGTTGAAGGTCCACCAGATTGGCACACGGTCAGCAAAATGTGTCATGACAATCTTTCCGTATTCGACGAAAGCATCCTCCCACGACACATTCTTGTAGCTACATTGGAAACAAGAGTCCAGATAGCCAATGCCTCCAGTTCCGGGCTTGATAAAGACATCGCTGATGTTGTTGTAATATTGGAAAGGAGAGTCGTTGTGGTAAAGCATGACAGCGGGATGCATGCCTTTTTCCAAGACGAAGTTGATAAGATCGTCGTAGTGCGAGAGACCTTGCTTGTTGACTGGTGTGCCTGGTAAGATGAACGGCAGAATCCGAGTCCAAGGAATGGAGAATCTGTAATACTTGATGCCCATGGCAGCAATTCGTTCGATGTCTTGCTTGTACAAGTAGTAGTGTTCGTTCGCGATCCAGTTCGGCGCTTGGCCCGGGTTGTTCAAGGCAGCAACGTCGTTGTGAACGGGTGTCCGTCCCTCATCTGCGACGGCTCCCTCGATTTGGACAGCTGATGCCGCCACGCCAAGCATGAAGTCTGCAGGGAAGGAGTAGCATTGCTGAGGTACCAGTGGCTCAGGTGGTGGCAGGATGAGCTCGCTGGTTGGTACTGGCGTCGGTTCAACTGTTGTAGAGTACATCCCGGTCGTGAAGTTGACCCAAGGCACGGTCGTCCAGAGAGCAGTCCAGGATGCGTTTCCGTATGGGCTCCCCAAGTCGGTCGGTGATGCGGTGACATTTGAGTTCCAGTTGCCCCATTGTGTTGTCGTCAGATTTGGCACCAAGCTACTGAGCGACGCGTACGGTGGTGCATAGGTAGTAGTGGTAGTGGGAGCTGGGGCAGATGTTGCTGTACGAACAGTCTCGGTCTGTGTGAAGCTGAACTCTCTGAAGGTATACAAGGGCAGTGCAGTCGCATATGTTTGATTTGCCGAGCATTGCGGTCGCGAGACAGGCCCTTCAGCAGGGACGTAGACTTGCTGGGCGAGAGCCACAGCGCCATACGCAAGAAGTGCTTGAGGCTTCATGATGATGGCCAAGGAACGCTTGATACATCTTGGTATTCTCTGCGGAGCTCTTTATACCTCTGTGGCTTTTCAATCGGACCGTGGGGCTGATTCTGACGGTGGTACTCATCGTCATCGGCATGTACAATCGCTTGTCGCTTCGCAAAACCTCGCAGCCCTAGTCCCGTCGTGAATTAATACGAAGGGCGTGGTGCGGCCTTGATCCCTTTCCGGGGTTTGGCGGATTGAATTCCTCGGTCGAGTTCGGTCGGGCCCAATTTCGGTAGTGCCTGGGTGCTTTGCGGGGGGCTTGCGGGGTCGAGCTTGTTGTGATGACGAGCGGGATGCAACGTCTAAGCTCCAACGTTGCTTTTCATGAATTGACCAGGCTCATGGTCCTAGCAAGTCTCGGGGTTTCTTAGTGGTTGTTCACGTTGTTGCTTCGCTGTCCTTACTCAAACAAGGTTAGCATGTTCTCCATCGCGCAGACTTCCAGGGTTCAAAGGTTTCCTGTTTGTGCCCGCAACAACGCGTGTTCAACCCTCTCGGTCTATCATTGCGCGACACCGCCAACCGACAACCGAAACTTCGCGGATGCCTGATTGCATGAATCGAGTGCCCATAGCAATGTCTGCTCAGTCTCCACCGCAATGGCGGACGCCAAGACAAGGGACGGTCTGAGTCAGGTGTATCGATCGGACTAGCTATCACATTCGCTCATGCAGTATGCTGCTCTTTCGATATGTAATTACCGAGCAGCTTGACTTCTAGCTGCTCAATCCCCGCAACATCTCGATATCAAGATGGGCTCATGTCAAGAACGTGTCTCATGTTCGACTTCATTTGACAACCTACCCTCAGAACCGAGTTCTTGAGAGATCAAGTAGAGGGTCTAAAGTTGTGAACTATAGGTGAACTTAGAGATCTGGGACAGGTTTCTGTGAAGTGGATGCATTTGTTCCAGCTTTGACTGGTGATGGACTTGTTTGGGTTGTCTGGTCGCTTCGCTCCTGACAAGAAAGTGCAGCTCGCGCTTTCAGGATGTCGCCCTGGCCCATTGACTGAGGAGATTCTCGACGACTGGCAGATTGCAGGATTTGTTGTTTCGACCGGGCTTCTGTTGACACTAGTCAAAGCAGAGTCTGAGGGTTGCAGCTCCTTCCGCTTCATAGCATTGCCAATGTCATGATTTTTGAACAGATTATGCTCGCTGCCACGACAAGTCCACAAACGGACAGGCACGCGCAGATACCATGAGTCGCATAGACTTGGACATAGAATAGCGTGAGTGTATAGTTGGAGGTTTGAGCAGTCTTGGTGTTGGTGTTGGTCTCGAGAAGCAAAAGATGACGCTAGCGGGGTCCGTGCGCCCACACGAATTTCGTCGTTGCCAACCCACTTGCCGAACTTCACGACGCTCACGACAACTCCAGCGACGACGCACCCGAAACCCGCCCAAATCGAATATCCCCCCGATAATCTACCAAAATGTCTGGAAAGCGCGGGTACGTAGTCCTCAGCCGCGAATTGGGCAGTTTGAGGCTGTCGTGCAGAGGAATGTTGGCTAACGAGTGTGCAGTCGAGGTTCTACCTCCGGTAACAAGCTCAAGATGACTCTTGGTCTGCCAGTGTACGTTTGACCCCGATGCGATCGCTCCGCCGAAAACCTTTCCGTTCGCGAACACGCATACAAGGCACACAGGGAATGCAGGCTAATAGAAGCACAGCGGCGCCGTCATGAACTGCTGCGACAACTCCGGTGCCCGCAACCTGTACATCATCTCCGTCAAGGGTATCGGTGCGCGTCTCAACCGCCTGCCCGCTGGTGGTGCCGGTGACATGGTCATGGCGACCGTCAAGAAGGGAAAGCCCGAGCTGAGGAAGAAGGTCATGCCCGCCGTCATTGTCCGCCAGAGCAAGCCATGGAGGCGAGCAGACGGTATCTACCTGTACTTCGAGGACAACGCCGGTGTCATTGTCAACCCCAAGGGTGAAATGAAGGGCTCCGCCATCACTGGACCCGTCGCAAAGGAGGCCGCTGAGCTGTGGCCGGTACGTGTGCACCCGCCACCAACAGAATCAACACTAACAACATCCAGCGTATCGCCTCCAACTCCGGTGTCGTCATGTGAGGTGTCTCTTTTCCTGCTTTCGATCACATTCATGGGTTTACGGGCACGGCGAAAATGCATTTACGGGGTGAAGGATTTGGGAGACGACATTGCAACCACGATTAGCAATGGGACGACCTTCACAATACCAGTCAAATGAACATTACGACCAAAACCACACTTTTGTTCCTCATTGCAGTGACGGATGAGTGACATGGCGGCAGTGCACCAATAGGATCAACAGCACAAGGAGCGCGTCAAGGAAACGTTTTGCGATTGTCGGACTCTGTTGATTGATCTGACATGAAGACAGGAATTATGTACTAAATCCACGCACATTAGACCCTAGGCTCATCGGCTGAGCACGAACTCCTATCGCACGCAAGCATCTGGAAGTCTGCCTCCTCGACAACGTCCTGCGCCCATCGCATCTGTATCATACTTCTCGCCTCAGCCTCACGCTTCCTCTGCCCACCCACGAACTTCAAGTTCTCGTTTCCAACAACACCCGTCGTGACAACACCAGTGCTCGGCGCACCGATTCCTTGCACCTGGCCATTGCCGCCCTGCATGACGTTCGCATAGCTCGACGACATGGTCTGTACTCCAGAAACGAAGTCCTGACCGTCAAACTCGCAATGTCCTCCCGCAGGTGTATTGTCCACAGTCTGCAATGCGTTGACCTGATCAGCGCTCAAACCTGCATCTGCACCGAGCTGCTCATAGGCTGTAACAGCCTGTGGAATGCTACCCTGAAGCAACTGGAGCTCACTCTGTGTAGATTGGAAGTGGATCCTCGTCTGAGACATGACTGTGGCAGCGTTCTGAAAAGCGACTTGCGGCGGCATGCCACCGCAGTTAAGCTCAACAGCCGAGTTGGCGTAGTTTTGCATCTGTGCTGGGATGAAGAAGCCGGACATCATTAGCGAGCCGCCCGAGACCCCTGTGAAGACGATGTTGGACATGTTGACTGCAACCCGTTGCGGCAGTTCGGTTTGGATGAAGTCGTTGACGGCCTGGGCGTGTGCTACACCATCTGTACGTTGAAGACCCGAGCCTCCTCCCCAGAACAGGTTTTTATCGGGTGCCAGTAGCGCAACACCCATGGTGTTGGCCTGAACAGCTTGGTTCGGCATGTCGAAGAAGCTCTGTCCACCGTCGCCGTGGAGCAACACGTTCGCGCCCAGGGTGCCGTTCGCCGATGTAGCTGCCGCACCGGGGACGCCCGAAGCTGGAAGGAATTGGTCTGCCGGTGCGGAGATTTTGAATCGAATTGGCAGGTTGTTGACCATGACCGTGTCATCCAGTATCATGGAGCCATCGGTGGCGGTAGAGATTCCCTGGGGCACCTGAGCCGCTTTTTGAAAGGCTGTCGCTTGTTGCGCGTTGCCGTTACCTCCGCGGTTGCGTTGTGGCAGCGCCGAAGTGAGAGAAAGCAGCGAGAGAGTGATGAGTCCGTGCATGATTGCGATAACGAATAGCTCAATAGACGAGAATAGAAATTAGGTTATTGAAAGAATGGACCGGCCAGGAAGAAGAATCGAAAGAAGGGTGGCAGACGAGAGATACCGCACGGCAGTATAGCGGGAAGAGAAGAAAGGAAAGAAGTGTGGGGGATTCCCATACATCTATACTGCATGAACGGCATGCTACAAATCACTAAAAGGCCTCGAGCCTGCGAAACACAGTTTCTTTCACTCCTAAACGCGTACGAGTATAGCCAAGCCTACAGGTCAGAGCTTCGCCTTGCCTCTCTTGAGCTTAACATGACTGAGTTCCGCCATTGAGCGGTGCGGTCTGGACAAGGCTTATGGAAGCTGTGTTTGATGCGCGAATGTGCAGCAGCTGTGGTTTGAGCTTGGAGGCCTTGGTGTTTCGGGCCGGGGCTTGGCGTGCGATTGCGGGTAACCGAGAGTTTACAGAGCTATCTGGAGTGCGTCAGGCATACGAGTGTTGTGCTATTCATAATTCCATCCAGTTCGCATGCGCATTGTGGGAGGTGTCGCGATGTTGATCTGCGCGGGCAGAGGAGGGAGTATCTCGGTGTGGAGGGTCCGTGCGTTGGACTGAGGCCGCCATCATCTGCATGCATGATTCTCCCGTCATTCACACCTTCACGTACTTGAGATGCTTCCTTCTGATCGCTTCTCACGATTTCTGTTTCTATCTCCAGCAAGAGAATAAATATACAGACATTTCGTCTCTGCAGTAGTCATGATAACCAAAATTTGTAAGAAGCCTGGGTACAAACAAACAGCAGGACTTCATGTTCCTCACAATCGACGCGCTGTTATATGAGCAAAAAGAGTCAACGTAACAACTTCATCGAATGCTAAGGGAGGCAAAAAAAAAGATGAAAGAATGCCACCTGGCCGAATCGCTACACTATTGTTAGTAATGGAATTTGAACTAAGTGCGATTCAAGCTTACAACGACCGATCTTCGCATATCTAGTAATGACTACAAGTGCGACGCTTTACCACTTAGCCAAGGAGGCAATTGTTGATGACTAAGAAAATTAAAATGGTACATATCGACATGTCAAATGTGGGCAAGAGCACGTTGACGTGGTAAGCGAGGTTGTGGGGCGGCAGCGACGACGATGTCTAGGAGTGAAACTGGGGACTATCCGACTGTCACGATCAGGACCACGCAGAGAGAGAAATGCAAGTTATGTGTGACTTTGATATTGATATCGATATTTGATGGATAATCTCTTAAACAAAACCGCTATGCAAAATACCTGAAATCTCAAATGCTACAGAAAAGGGTAGCTGTAATGCTAGAAGTAGCTTCCCAATCCTTCCTCCAAACGCCACGCTTATGCTCATGCAAATGCCTCGCTTCATAAATCGTCAATCTCGAAAATAGCAGGAGAAATCTAGGCAAGGCCGAAAACACCCCTCAACCGCCTCCAGAGCTCCTTGCCCATAGCTTTTCGGGTATCCTCAGTGCGCAGCGCGGCCTCCTTATTCTCACTCGCCCTCCTGAGCAGGAAGTTGAGGCATTCGGTCGTGGTACCCCAAGTCATGCACTTGACGACCTTGGCCTGAGTGTCCGCCTTCATGGTCTCGTCTTGGACTAGAGCCTGGGAGATCTCGTCGGCCATACCTTGAAGTTGGGCGTAGGTAAGACGAGGTAGGTTCTCGGGGGAAGTGGAGAGCATTTGTTGGGCGCGGATCTTCTGGGCGGCTTGGACGGAGGCGAGGTTGTGGGTTGCGAGGACGATGTTGACCTTGGGGAAGGGAGTGCCTGGTGTGGGGGCGGGGACCTTGTCAGTCCATTGTTGGCGGACTACGGCATCAGCGAGGGCATCGTAGTTGGCGTCGGTGCCGGCTTTGGTGTCAAAGGTGAGATGCTTGGGCTCAGATGTGAGGTAGGCGCCGCGTACAAGCTTGACACCAGCGATGTAGCCTCCCTTTGAGGCGCGCTCAAGATGCTCGGCCAGGCGCTTCGAGATGTCGCGCAGGTAGCACTGGTATGTGATGTAGAGAACCGCACGACCATTCTCGGGCTTGTTGTACTTCTGCTGCAGGGCTAGTGTCCACTTCTCGAGTCCACGGTTGGTTGCCTCTTCTTCGGCACCAGGAAGGAGGCTGACACCCTTTGCGGCGGCGGCATCGCAAGCTGCCGTGATGGCATCCCACATCTCAGGGGTGGCTTCTTGCTGGTTCTGGAGGAGGTTGAGGGCATGGCGACCGAGACCGGACCATCTACATGGCGGTTAGTAGGTGCTTGTGTCTAAGCCATCGAGTCAAGACTTACTTCAGTCCAACAAAGTCACCCTCCTTCGCCATATCAACGCTCTGCAACATTCCCTTCCTCCACACCTCAATCTCCATCTTGGTCTCTTCGGCAGTCGGTGCCTTTCCGCCTAGAACCTCGAGCGCGTACTCAAACAGGATACCGCCGTATCCAAGCGTGCGTGCAAATTCGGTGTTCCTGACGACCTCATCTTTCTTCTCGCCAACGCAGTACTGCGCATAGAAAGTCTTCTTGAGTAGGTTGGACAGCACCGGGTTTCGCTCGATGCTCAAGAGGAAAGACTTCGAGTCTAGCATGCGCCGTAAGATGCCGAAGCAAGCATTGAGCAGCAGAGGCCGGGATGACACGGCTGTGATGAGGTAGGATCGGAGGACGGTCTCTGTAGGTAGGCGTCCGAGGACTGCTTTTGTCTGCGCTATTTGCGACTCTGGCTGTGTCGACAGGAGTTGTGAGGTCGAGACTTGTGATGAGGCGGGGATAGACACATTCTGTCGTGCGCTCTGGGAGACGTAGCGCGGCGTCTGTGCAAGGGTTCGGGATGTGTGTGCGAGCGCGAGGCTCTGGAAGCGGTGGAGGTTTTGTCTCCGGATCATCATGTTGATATGTGGGTGTAGTCTGGCGCTCAAGTGGTTGTGTGAAAGGTGGTGTAGTTTGCACTTCGAGTTGGTGAATCGGCACGGGTTATAGATTTTCGGTGTATGCAAACTTGAGAGGGCGAGCAATTCTGGAGGTCTTGTGACTTGCTTTCCATTGTGGTGAAGGCCATATATACCATGGTTGGTACTCTTGGTGCTCCACGATATCGCACGCGATGCTCGGCTTGCGTCGGATGCGGTCATGTCGCACTAGTGCAGCTTCATTGTTGCTCCAGATGGTGCCAGACTGACGCAGACGCCGGCTTATCGCCCGCGCTAGACGGGCCGATGATTGGACAATGCCGCAACGCGTTCCTGTGGAGTAAACGACATGTCTGGCATTCATGGCGACGCGATGGTGTTGAGGTTTGTTGCTGGATGTGATGTAATGACCGTTGTAGAGTTTGTGAGAAACTCATCGTGCCTGTTTCCCGTGTAAGCCGGTGACGTAGCATCATCAACTTCCAGTTTGCGATCCCTTGCTTTTGCCATGGCTTTGACCTCCAAGCTGCCATCGTGACCTTCGCAATGCCTGTTACCCCACAGTCGGCGAAATGCACAACCACCTGGGCAGCCGCTCCTCACATTAGCGTCATCTTGCCAGCACAGCTCCGTTCGCGA